TTAAGGACCAAAAGTCAAACCTTAATCTGAAAGGTGTAATTAAATAGCTGCAAAAGGCCAACATCAAAATAAAAAACTCTGTCCTTTTCTCATTTTTTAGTTGTGAAAAATATTTGCGTAATTTGACATTTTCTGCAAAAAGTTCAGTCTCACATCACTAAGAAACAATATGAGCTGCACCTGTCCGTCCAAATTTTTTAAAAAAGGAAAAAACTGTTTTTCTATCTTCTGAATACATTGAGATCAAAATATAAAGTACAAATAATACCAAATAAACTGTGAATAAAGAATTTTCAGGTCAAAAGTAAAGCGCTTAAAGTGAAAGTTTAGATCTTTTGAAGAAGGGATCTGTGGACAGATTAAACAATATCTAACCTGTTGCAGATAGCTTTGTGAACGATCTCTGTTTGAAGAAATACAGTTCAATTTTGACCAAACTGACAAGCTATAGTCTAGTCCAACTATGGCCAAAAGTAAAATGGATCACTTACACAACTCTAATCTCCAAATATTTTATGAACCTTATCGTTTCTGTTTATGCCTCACGTCAATATTCCAGTAAAAATACTCCTGCGGGATGTGGCAGCAACAAAACTGTGGACAGATAGCTGCTGTGTCTGATATCTTTGTTGGGGGGGGGGGGTCAGACCACAATGCAAATATTTATAAAATAGTGTTTGTATGAACTGCTGAGACTAATGTTTAGCTCTTCAATATGGTCAGAATTAAACTCTACTTCTCAAACTGAAGTCATTCAATGACTTATCTGCAGCAGGTAAGATACTAATTGTTCACTACCTTTCCACAGAGCCCCACTTGAAAAGATTTGAGGCGTTCTTTAGTGTTAATTTGTGACTTATGGTGTGCAGGAAACATCAAAACATTAGCCTAACAGAAAGAACGGTAGAAGTGGTAGCTTAAAATTTAATGTTTCCAGGGTAAACCTTTATTTCTTCAGCATCAGATAAGAATAGTTAAAAGCTGAAGAAATCAGAGTATTAAAAAGGTTTTGGTTAGGTTTATAATGCTATTAGTATTTAAAGATACACCGACAGAACTGAATGCACAATCTTCACAACAAACAGGATAATTTATGGCAATTTATTTTTTGTTTTTTTTTCATATTGTGGCTTTCCTCATTGTGTGTGTTCACTGATATTCCTGACAAGATGAAATAAGCACATAACTATCTCAGATTAGTCATCAGCCATGTGCATCAGTGTGTCAGCTGCACACCAGTGAACTGAGTCACATCTAATGACATCTATGATACAATCTGAATGTTTTCACTGAGTTATGTTTGTTGTTAATCTTAGCTTATTCTTTATTTTAGTTTGTAGTTTCAGGATTATTTGCTCTTCAACGGGTCTTTACAGCAAGTGTGAAAATTATGTTTTTGAATGCATTTGCTAGGCAAGGGCAACAAAAATCCCACTTAAATTATACGTTGAAAAGGAGAAAATAACACAAATTTTAGCTCGGTTCAGAAAAATCAATCATCTCTTGGTGCTTTTAAGGAAAATACTGTAGATCTGTATTGCATACATTCATGGGCAAAAGTCTTGAGTCGTCAGTCTTCATCTGTTTGTATTTCGCATCAAAAAGACTGATTTTTTTTCTTTTAAGTGATTTTCATTTCAGTTTTTGTGACAAATCAATTTCATAGAATAAAAAACAAACAAGTGATAACTTTTTTCTATAAACACAAGAATTTGTTAAAAAATTGATAAACCTTTGCTTAATGCCACTTTAAATTTACAATAAAAGTCTGGCCTTTTGGAAGCAAACTATAAAGGAATTTATTGGAGACTCAAGGTTCATCAGTCTGGTTCTGTAAAAATCCGGGTGAAAAAAAGAAAAGTATGTGTCGCCCTCATATGTCAGAAAGATGAACTGCAGCACTAACTTTCTAAAGTTACTAAAATTTTGCATAGCTCTACAAAATTGCCAGAAACAAAAGTATATTAGACTTTTTTAGACTGGTGGGATGAGTTCTGATGTTTAAGAAGGTGGGGAAAAAAATACTGTAGGAGGTTTTTCTTTTTATTTTCTGGGTCAAAATATCTCTTGTAAAATTGATTTTTCACTGGTAATGACAACAAAAAAAATGCTGACAAACTAAACATTTGTACTGTCTTTAATTTCCGAATCAATGTACAAGGACATTTCCATGGATTAGCACTTCTTTTTACAATATGTACCACATTACAGCACCTACATATTATTTACACACTTGCACAAGATTGTATCACAAAACAGTGTGTGAAATTAGCAAAAACAAGCGTTTTGCTGAACTAACACACTCCATAATCCATGAGCTGGATAAACAAAATATAATCTCACAGCCTCCGGCCCCTTCTCAGATTAAAGCTGAAATTACACACGTGAAAACGTGAAAAAATCATGAGACGTAGAATGATGGCAATGTCTATGATCCTATGAATGGGTCAAGTGTAAACATTAAGCAGGTCAATTTGCAAGCTTTCAAACACTCTTACCGTTTGCATTGTTATATTTAAGAACTGTGTTGTAATTGAATGCCAAAAAAGAAAATGTGCACATAGGTTTGTAAACTTTGACAACTGCATGATTGTGAAGGACTGCAAAACAAAAATTAAACAAAGGTTAAAGTTTTGAATAAATCTATCCATCAACCCACTTGTTTGGATGAGATGTGATAAAATCCTAGTTAGAATACAGGAAGAAGAAAAAAAATGTCAGAATGAGGAAACACACACACACACACACAGACAGAGAGAGAGTTGCGTCACAGCCAGAAATACTGTAGCAGCTTTCTCAAAGGCGAAGACGTAAGTGGCAGTTTTGCTGTGAGATACGCAAAAGCATAACAGCAGCAGAATAAGATCCACGTGTTGAGAAGTGTTTTCAAGGCGAGCCAAACATCAGGATTCCTAATTTTAGTCCAATCTGGTTTGGCCGTCACACCAAAATGAAGGAAGAGGAGAACTGCAAAGATCCTGGTTCATCACATCAGAAAATTTCAAACAAACAGGCCAAATGCTTTACWCCTCAATTATAGGATTTAAAATGCAGGGTGTATTTAAGGGAAGTAAACAAAAAAAGAACTAAACAAAGCTTTTAACATGCAAAGAATGAGCAACAAGTTTCCTATTGAGAAAAAAAATGGCAGTGATAAAGAAGGGGCTAAATATGCAGGCTGATAATATTCAAGCTTTCCTTTATTTGTAACATTGCAACTAAAGAGGAAGATTTTAAATGGTTGGCCAAGGCATCAGTCCCCGTCACCTGTCCAACCGGCCACCGAGGAGAGGACAGCTGAGGAGTCACGGTTGTCGGAAAAAGTTCAGAGCATCCGGTTACGTTTATGAGTGGGCGAGTCTGTGATGACGTCACTGCAGGGCGCAGAGCCTCGTTTGCGACTGGCTGCAGGATCTAAATGAAGAGCCATCTCCTCGGCTATGAAGGTGTTAAGGTCCACATCGTGAAGACCGTTCCTACGTCGACTGAGAGACTGGGCAGGGTGAGTTGGCGAACCGGGAGGACCGGAGCGCACAGAAATGCTGGCCATGGCACCACTAAGACCTGAAAAGACGAAARTATGGCGTCACGTCAAACTGAAATCATTACACGACTTCACGATGCAACACCTTCCACGTGAACATCTGAACCAACCATGCAAGGCGATCGCCTCTCTGAAGGGCTGCAGGTCCGTCTCCACAGAGCTGTCCGACTCCGCCGGTGGTGGTCGACTCGCAGACACCATAGCAACTATGGGTGGCGCACGGGTTGTCCGTTGGGGTGGAACTTTGCCACACAGGAAACTAATAAGTTCTTCACGTCTGATTGTTCTTCGGCGTTTCTTCAACCACGCAATCACCTCCTTATTCCTGCGCTGATGGCCTAAATGAACTCCCAAGTCATAGCTCCGTTGGTGGGCTTCAATACTCTCTGYAACGCCAAAGAATTGTTTCTATCAGGTCAACTCTGTTCATGTAAAATGTGTTTCTATGGCATGCAGAGACTGAAGGACTGAAAACTGTCCGCACTACATTTTACTTGCCTTTATATAAGTTAGTGACAGCTGTAGCTGCGTTCTGGAAGGGCACCCAAAGGGAGAGACCTTGCTGCTGACATACACGATCTGTAAAAATGCATTAAAAAAGACAGTGTGAGATGAAACCTGGGAAATAAATAAATCTGCTGCCAAAGTTAACTGTTTTGTTTGTTTCTTTCGTTCTTTTTAGGAAATACACACTCGAAAGCAGAGGAAAAACTAACTTGGTATAAAGTTCAGATGAACAAAAGAAAAGGTTTTCTATAAACACATAGACGAAATGTGAATTCGCAGGCGTTGTTTCCAGTTCTCTACTTCCAGGTTTTCACTTGAAAGTTCAGTCCTTTTGTGGTAAAAGCACCACCTCTAATTTGTAATGGCCACTGAGAAAGTTTCCTCTCATACGTTGCACTTTACAAACACAAGGTCGTGCTCAAATCTGTAAACACACAGTGATAGCTTACGTAAACAAAGTTATGTTGACAAGCTTAAGTGGGAGCTTATGCAGAAATCATGACAACATTCAGCAAAAAGTATGTGAATACTACAAAACCACCAAGCTACATTATCAAACTATTTCGGCCARTAAAGCCAATGAAGAACATTTTACTCAAACTAAAGTAAGTGATTACTTTGAATGTTCTATGACATTTATGTACACAAGTTCTTGAGTGATGTTATTTCTCTTGCGTAAAACATAAAAACTGTTCAACTCAGCGTTATTTTAACACGGAAACATTTACGTTGTTCTTTCGCCATTTTGTCGGAGCAAAAGAATAACAATAAGGTGAACACAAATAACCGACTGAAGGGCGACCTGGATTAAAACGTCGTTTTGTCGCAACTTATTTATTATCCACCGCAGAATCGGCACATTTATTGGTTCATTTGATCGTCAACACATCTGTTGTTTTCACTCTGCAATCTCCTCCCCGAGTATCGCCATTTTGACAGTCTAGATAACTGTAAACTGGAAGACAAAACATGTATGTTCGACCCCCGGAGAACAAATGTGTTGAAAACTAGCAGCACACACCGAGTTAGCTTGGTGTTTAAATAAAGAGCCCAAAGACTGACTTGTACGGATACGTTTTATAAGTAAGCGCTGTGACARCTGAGGCCACCGTGTGCGGCGTTCAGCAGTGTTGTCAAAAAGCTCTGACACGGTGACCGGCAGGAGTTGTGCCGAGTTGTGTTTCCCCCTCGTCGAGAAGCGTTTCTTCATAAGCTCCGCCCAGTTCAAAAGGCAAAAGAGACGCTTTTGCTGCAAATTCTCCCCCGACGTCACAGTACGTACGGGGTGGAGCTAGTAATCAACGGGGGAACACAAATGGACACAACACCAGCTGTTAGCCAATGTTGGCTAGCAGAGGAACAGGGTCACGATATCAGGAACAGAACAATCTGTATCTGACCTTGTTTAAAAATACACGTAGTGTAATGGCGCCCACAACAAACATGGGAACATATTACACTTAATTGTAAATAATTATTTGTTTGCATCAATGGCCTTAACAGTGTCCTTTGTCTCCCCGGCCGGCAAACAGTACCGTTAGGATTAGCCTTTATTAGCATTAGCTCGGCGATAGCCTTTACTTGAACTTCGGTGTGTTGAGAACATACCTTTATAGAGCTGCGCGACAGCCGTGGCCGAGTTCTGAAAAAGGTGCCACAGCTTTTGTTGACTTTGTTCGGTCTCCTCGGAGCTCGGAGTATCTTGTTCAGCCTCTGCTAAGCACTGTCGTTCCCATTTGGAAAACCAGTGCTCAGGGCCGTGCTCTTGAATTTCAGCTTCTCCTTCTTCCTTCTTCTCTTCCATAGTTAAAGTCTTTGTCTTAAATATTTATTTCCCGAGCTACTAAACGGTCTCCCTTATATTAAGAAACTAATGTTAGACATCCTCTACCACCAACTAAATGATGAAATATAGCCGATGTAAGAGCCTCATTGTCAACACGCCCTATGTTAAACATACCAAACTAAAGAACGCGGATGACAACACCTTAGAATTTCTGAAACTAGCTCCTCCCTTTTCCTCACTAAACTGAAACACGATTGGCTGTCAACTCCAGTCTGGGCGGGTCTTATTGCAACATGCGAAACCTGATTGGGCGATGTAAAAAAAAAAACAGAAAAGCTCAGTTAAAACCAAAGTTGATGCCAGTGAAAGGAGTTCCAATATGCTGTTTAGCATTTTGTACGCTAGAGGGCAACCTGACCACTGAAATCCAGCCTAAAAAAATAAAATAAAGAAAACTCGTGATTTTTCTATAAAATGTCGACAACATTGTATTTTTCCTCATCATAACTGTGTCTTGCAAGACTACTTAACAGACATTTAAAACTACCACACATTTATTTCTTTTGCATGATTTTTTTTTGTATATTTAGCAATTTTAGTAAAGTAAATGGCCACTAAGGTTAAATTTATCGGATTATTCTAAAAACCCAGTAGCCAGCGTATAAATAAAGAGTGTCTTTAGTATTGCATTATTTTACGTACATTTAGATTTATAAATTAATTTCTTACAAAATCTCATCTTACTTTAGCCATCTGGTTGTAGACCTGCATGTTGTATTAAAACTTGTACCAGRGTCTGTTTTTATTTTCTTTTTTTCTACAAGTAAAGGAATACAACACCACTTGTTCTTTCAAAACTGCTTTTGCTTAAAAAACACATCTTATTTCTACAGCACACACAAATTGAGAGTAGTGAAACTATATTTTTGAAAGTTTTTGTTTTCATATGACAAAAAGTGTTTCTTAATGTAAGCTGGTTGGCTAACAATTTAAAAGTTGCATAGWTGGATTTCCACAGGATTGGATATCTACTGGAAGTCCAGTGGTGAAGCATATTTACAATGAATAAATATTTTTTTATAGAAATGGCACATCTTTCAACATGTTGAGCAAAAATTGTAAGCATCTTCAATCATTCTGTGGTAATGGCAGCCTTACAGTCTACATATGAGCAGCATCAGTGATTAGAGATGCCAGAAGGACAAATGTGTTCTTGCACAAAGTCAAAACAATTACTGAAGACCTTTGACCCCTGGAGGAACTGGAAGTCACTGAAAAAACTGTTCTCCTTTATGAAAACCCCACATTTTTATTCTAAGGTTTTATTTTAATTTTAACTCGTGCTTCATGTTGTTTAACAGGAGTGATAATATGTTTAATCAGAATCAGAGTCAGAAACAGTTTTATTGCCATTGTCAGTGAATATACAGACTAGGAACTTGCARTTAAGAACACCCATTCTTAAGTAAGATGCAGTTACATGAACTGTGAACTGTTATCAGTCACCAGCCTTTATTGGTTCTTGTGTGTAATTACTGTGTTATTTAACAAGAAAGTTTAGCCTCAGGTTAACCTTTGTGGTTGCTGCTGTATGAGCTTCAGACAGAAGCAGTCCAAAGGTCAGAGGCGTAATAATACCTTATGTTGTCTCTGAGCTGTCTCCTTCAGCCTGCACAGGTCTCTACACAGGTCTCTGTGTCAAGACTTGGTTGATTCTCAAACCTTGACTTTGCATCCTTTTCATTTCCACCTCGACTGGTCATCCTGCTGTGTTTGAACATGGCCAAGGGYGAGCAAAGTATTTCTGACGCCGAGGGGTATTTCCAGGAGCCAGGACCAACCGTCACGTTTGACAAGCTGCACTACTGTGTTCGAGAAACAAAGTTCTGCCGCAAGATCGGTCCTGACAAACTGATCCTCAAAGATGTCAGGTAGGACACGGTGCCCACCAGTCCACTACAGTCACTACTCTGTGTTGAATTCCTTCTGTAAAAATACTCTCATTCAACAACAGTAAGTTTATGAGGGAATCATGTCAGAAAGGATGAATTTATGGGTTTTCCCGCTTGGGTTTTCGTCAATTATTCAATTCTTTTTATTAAAATTTAGAACCAGATGTGCCTAAACAATAGAATCAAAGTCTGAGAATTTTTAAAGGCTGTAAGTTGTTAATTGTTTGTCTTATCTGCATTTTCCTAACTGCCTCCAAATAAAGCAGCTAGTGATAATACTTAAGAAATTACTATTTCAGGAAAAACAGTATGAACATTTATTTACACACACACACACACACACACACACACACACACACACAC